AATAGATGTGGTATTGTTTGATTTGGATGAATATTGTTTCAAATAGAAAGGACTGGGAAAGATATGTATCATTAAATGGCTTTGGATGCATGTGAAAGCTGGGATAAAGCCTATTTAAGCTCATTTTCAATAGATGGTTTGGACTATTTAGCCTCAATTTGTAGCTCAATATCTCAAGAAAAACATGGAGAACCACCCCACAAAAAATGGCACCCAATGGACCAGTATTGCAGCCTGCAGAAATAATTTATTTCTTTTGGAAAAGGACCCCAGACACCCAGTGACAGCTTTGGTATGATGGTATGAAGTGGTATCATACCATCTGGTATGGTATAACATGACATGGTATGGTATGGTAACTTGATATTGGTATGAGTGGGATATGGTATGAGTTTTCCATTCCATGGTACCATGGTATTGGTATGGTGCTCACATACCACTCTGGAATGGGTACCATTGAGGTACCCTTAAATCAAAGAGTTCATATACCTCATAGGTACCCTAAAATGGGTGACTGAAGTGGTTAAGCCCCATCCAAAGCCATGCGCACAAGATACTAAGCAAGTAGGCCCATACTATATATACTAGGCCTAGCATGGAACATGAACTTTTGCTGATGACTCAAGGTAACATTAGTGCTTGTATATAGGAACTGTTGAAGGTTGGCAAATGCATAAAGCCAAGAGTACCAAGTTGCCAAACACACCTCTAGCTCTGTTCTGATGATCACAGCCAGTGGATGGTCTGTGGCTGCAAAATCACAGAACTTTGAGCAGCAGCTGACAAGAAGATGAGGAGGGCTAGGCCATAGAATGGATGACACAACCATTGTACTTACACCCAATATCAGGTAATTCTTTCAATTCAACCTGGAATTTCTTCTCTGATAGCCTTAAACTTGTTGCACTAAGTCCATTATATTGCACTAAATACTACATTCAAGAGACATGAGTATTGCAAAGCTGAACAAGTCAAAATAAAGCAAAATTAATTGTGAAACATATCCAACATTCATCATCAGTATGATGAAATTTGTTCAGTTATGAAGTTATATCTATGTATCCTGTATTTTAGTTATGCATCAGAGTAGAGAGATGTGGAAAAATACCATAGGTTTGAAAAGACATGAGGAGTCATCAGGACTGAGCTGTGTTACCTCTCTTCTTATGAATTCCAAGTGACAGCTTGGGTATAAAATTTGAGATTCTCTTGGCAATGTTGAAAAAGAGGTGACCTGGGAATATGAGCATCAAAAATATGAAAAAGCAAGTAGCAGCTCAACTAAATACCTTTCTTTTCAGAATGAATGATTGCATCATCCAGATTAGTGGTAGGTGGAAGAGTAGCTGGAGCCCCCACCAGAACTCTGTTGCTGGCATGTGGAAATTCATTGTCCACATTTCCCTCCTCCATATCTTGGGTCACAGAAACGCCATGGCCTGTATTGTGAACTTGGTTCTCTGCATCATCCATCTTTGTGGACTGACTCATGGTTTTCTGTGTTGCTGCTAAATTCTGTGTGGCTATGATTGTGTGTGGGTGGTCTTCTCCATAAACCTTTCTCCTAGCATCCAGAACTTGGACCTCCAGCTGCTCTGCTTCTGTATATTTTCCCAGGTCTCTGTATGTTGATGCAAGATTTCCCATGGCTAACATTGTGTCTGGGTGTTCTTCTCCAAGAATTTTCTTACTGGCATCCAGAGCTTGGATCTGCAGCTTCTCTGCTTCTGTATATTTTCCCAGGTCTCTGTATGTTAATGCAAGATTTCCCATGGCTAACATTGTGTCTGGGTGTTCTTCTCCAAGAATTTTCTTACTGGCATCCAGAGCTTGGATCTGCAGCTTCTCTGCTTCTGTATATTTTCCCAGGTCTCTGTATGTTACTGCAAGATTTCCCATGGCAGAGATTGTGTCTGGGTGTTCTTCTCCAAGAATTTTCTTCCTGGCATCCAGAACTTTGATCTCCAGCTTCTCTGCTTCTATATATTTTCCCAGATCATTGCATGTTGATGCAAGATTTCTCATGGCAGAGATTGTGCCTGGGTGTTCTTCTCCAAGAATTTTCTTTCTCGCATCCAGAACTTGGACCCCCAGCTTCTCTGCTTCTGTATGTTTTCCAAGGTCTCTGTATGTTGATGCAAGATTTCCCATGGCT